TTTTTCTATAAAATCAAGCATTTTCTTATCAGGTTGAGTTACGACCAGTCTATTTCATTTCATTCAGTCAGATGAGTACGGTCATTTTGTCTCTCAAACCTCTAACAGGTCAAGACACCTGTAACTCAATGCTGTGCGTTTGAGTAGCCCAAGATATATCAGATAACAAACCACTGGAACAAATGGGATTCTGTGATCAGGCTTTTTGTTTTGTTTTGTTTTTTATGACATCCTGCCATAATTTGGAAGTACTTTTCAAAGAACACCTTCAGAAACTTTTTTTTTTTTTTTTTGTAAGTGTTGTTAGTCTCTGGACTTCAAAAGAAATGCTTGAAAGTAATGGACTTTATCAGCTACTTAGCATTCATGTCACCAGCCATGAGGAACAAGGAGCAGAATGTTAGGAGTAACAGGCACAGTCCCAGTTCAAAATTTTAACAAAAAGAAACATATTATTAAAAATAATATGGTTCGTAGGTTTGTACACCTGTAGCGTGTACTATCTCCTGTGTACTGTATTGAATTAAATATATTAAAAATTACTACAAGCTGCAAACAGCCAACATCCAAAAGCATCAGAGGATGCCATGGTAACTTAAAGGATTTTCATCTTTCCTTAGTTATTGATTTAAAAGAAAAAAAAAACTTTTGTGTAGAATTTGGACATTTTCAATAAGAGTCTGCTTTGCATCTGGAAATTTCACATCCACTATGAACATTTTCTATATTTTTTTTCTTCTACTTTACAGGTAAAAAATTGAAACAGCACAAAACAAACAAACCAGCTCTGTAGGAAGAGTGTTAGTGTGCGTACATTTGTCATTAAGGAAAAGTATTTTGAACTTTTCAAAGACTATGACGCTCCACCACTACAGCTGTCCATGAAATATAATCATTTAATGAATGGCATGTTTTTAATTCCACAGAGCCAGAGCTAGATAGTCTTTGAACATTTTTAGGGTTTTTTATTAAGCCAAATGTCTACAGATATTTCCTTATATTCATTTTTTCTTACCAATTCCAATTCTCCCTGATAAATTTGACATTCCAAAATTAGGATTGTGGACTGTCCTGCATGCCCATATTGTAAGTAATGCCTTACAATCAAACATATTCGCTTTATACATGTGCAGAAAAACACCCATACAGTGGTTTCATTTCACTCCTCATCACATGAGATAAACCTTTTACCAACATTCAAGTTTCAGGCCAGGGGTTCCAGTCATGTTTTAGGTCTTTACGACACAACTCTAAGTCAATTTCAAAGTTTTTTATGCAAGTAAACCTAAGATGCCATTCTTTGCTTTTGGATAACGCATACAGTGAAACCATGCCCTGCAAAACCCCTTCACATGTTTCTATTAGGCTTATTTGAAATGAATGGGCATAAATGTCTGTTTCCTGTCTGTCAGAGTAATCTCAACGCTACTTGAGATCTAAGACAAAGCAGCAAATGGTGCTGGCCACTCACTGAAACAGCTGGTGACAAAGGACGGTTTCCAAGACATTTCTCCAGAAATGCCACCCTGTGTCTCATCCTGTCACTTTAATCAGGAACATCCTTCTTATCCTGCTCAGGATCTTTCGTGTTGCATTTGCTCAGCAGAGTGTAGAGTGGGCAATTAATGTGAGAAGCTGAGGCAGTTTGACAGACCCCTGTGTTGTTCATTGTGTTGGTGAACAGGCTCGACATGTGACCTGGAACAGTTCTTCCTCTCTCCTGTCTGCACATAATTTGTTCTGTCAATCTACTGCCATGCAACACGACCTCCAACTCCATTACGGTTTTGCAATTCTACTTGTCATTTCTGATATTTTACATCTTGAATTTTTATTTTTCTACTTTTCTAAATTATGACACATTTTCTAGGTTCCATTATTTCCCACAAGTGACAACAAAGGTTGTTCACATTGAGTAGTTTACACGGATAACAATTCCTAATATTGAGTATGTACGTGTCAACAGTGGAAAAGAAAGACTCCTTTTAACTGGAGATAGGGCTCAAAATCCCATATGAAATCCACCGCCCTGGCGGTTAATCTCCCAGATTGGCTGGAAAGCAATCACAGACATCCCGGTACATTGGCCAGGAGAGATCCTTTTCAGACATGACGGTGGACATGTACACAAATGGATGGAGCTCTTGTATTACATAGTGGACCACAGGTAAATCTTCATTTTAAGATCTGAGAGCAAGCCATGAAGGAGGATTGTGGGACATGGGGGTATTAATGGTATGCTCCCAGTTGTGGTCCATTGTGACTGTGGGGGAGCAGCTGCAGAACTTGACGGAACATTTGGGTGGATTGAATTTGTTCTTGTTTTCTGAGTACATGACCCTGACTGGACCAGGCCTGGAGCGTTGAAAGGAGCCACAGATACTTTATCACCTCACAAACCTGCACACTTAAGCACCCCATCACAGACTGCATTCTCCTGTACCAACAACTGGAAGTTCATGCCCCTGGTAAGGCAGGAGAACCTGAAACAGGAGCTAGCGTTCCATCACCCAAAGCCTGCAGGAGCTTTGCTGGACCACCCCCTGAGTCTTTATGGGACATTTGGGTGGACTGATAACCGTTAACATGGGACATTTATTTTATTTTCATGAAATAAAGAGAATATTTCATTCAGGAGACAGCTGTACATTTCGATCCTTAAACATGATTCAGGTAATCACTGATATTTACAGCAATAAAACACGGCTTTTTCACACAATGTGGATGACGTTGATTGCTGTAGAACTGAGGCTCTTTTGCTCTATAAATTTTGTTACACTGTCCCCTAGTGGAAATATAAAATAAGTTCTAGTCTTGATTGTTTTTTTTTTTATTATTTTATTTTGTTTTATTTTTGTTTCCCATCTCTTTGGGCACTGTATAGCAGTTTAAAATAATACCCTGTTAAGTCATGGTTATTTATATTTAAAACTAATTCCCAGTCTGACTATTGAGGAACAACGTAAAATATATTTTTCTCTTTGACAAAAAATACAAATAAAAAATAAAAACATCTGGAACATCAGGACATTGTGTAGATGTCATGTTAAAATGAACAAACCTCTCCAATTTGAATATGTTTAAACAGGTCATATCTCCACTGCTAAGAAACACAATTAAAATGAAATAACACTTCAGAGTTTAAAATAGGTTTAAGCTTTGTTTGTCTTCCCACCAGGTGGCAGTGTTTCACTTATTGAAAAGATACGAAAGCCCTAACAGCAACAACACACTCATCGTGGTGACGTCAATATTTTAGTTTTTTTAACCAGAAACTCAGTGAATAGACTTGGATGATAGTTCAGGGTAAAACGTCCATGAGATGTTTTGTTAATTAGATTTCTTTTTTTTTTATGTTTGATTTTTTTTTAAGAAAAAAAAAATCAAACATAAACTAATACTATGTAACACAACTTATCTAAACTGATCAGAATCACAAATCAGGAGAAAGGCTTACAAAAATGAAATAACTCAAAAATGAAACTTCTCCACATGATACAAAACATTACTGTCAGGCTAACTGATTACTTTTAAAATGTGCTTAAGAGTGTACGGTGTTTGAGAATTCAGATGAATCAAGAAAACTCAAGAAAAAAGTCACTGACCTCTTCTTTCACCCAGAAGGCATTTGGAAAGGATTTAAAAAAACATCATGTTTTCACAAGTTTTCCAAAGGACCTGAGGGTTGTACATTGTGTTGAAGTTATGCCCAGGCAAAGGCAGACATGTTTTTTGCCATTACTGTTTATTTTCATTTCATGGACCAGCAGTTTCTTTTCATAGAGACATGAAATATGTGGTCCCTGAGAGTAAACATTGAGTCCTTACACAAAGAACAATTGACACATTCTGCCATCAGCAGGAAACAATCCTCTCTCCAAGAAAAACCTTCTTCCTTCATCAGCTGCTTCAGGCTGCAGTAAAAACTAATGTAAACAAACTCTCGCACTCTTAACCTAATGAGGTCAACAAGAATTAGCTGAGTTTTACAGTCAGTCTTCACATAGAGAACAATGTCATTAGAAAAAGATTCTGTTCAGCCAGCGGCATCTTGTTCTAATACCAGTTCTTTCGTCAGTGACAGAAACTTCATCACAGGAACAGGTCTTGTTGAACTCGGTGCATCTTCACAACACGGCTAGTTTTTTTTTTTTTTTTCACTTTTTTTTTTTTTTTTTCCACTTGTGTCTTCACTCGTATAGAAGATACAAAAAAAATTTCATCCAAGATTTTTTTTTGCATGTGTTTTGAGAAGGTTTTTGTTTGCTTGTTTGTTTTTTGCAGTGTTGGGCTCCTTTTCTCACCTCAGTTAATCCACTGTATTCGGTTTTCACAAAAACAAAGTTAAAACCAGTCTAATCACAAGTCCAATTAGAATAAAATTACATCTGATCCGATTAAAAAAAGTTTCCCAGGTGTTTAAACTTTACTCCAGTGGGTTTCAGTGTTGCTGAGACTATGATCATGTTTTTTTATGTTTTAAAACATCAATAAAAAATTTGTTGCCATTAAGATTGCGGTGGAATGTGACTACTCTGTTCAGGATTTCATTTTTCCACTCTGAGGATCAGGACCTTTCCAGGGAAATGACTCTGAGTGTCTGAGGCTAAAGGAGAGATCAGACCTCCTATACTCTTTGCACAGAATACACTTTCAAAGTAAATCCTTTTTTTTAATTTTTGACAAAGTTATGATTCTTTTGGGGGTTTTTTCATGGAGAATTTAGAGACAAATGAATCAGCCAAAGCTGATGAAAAAAATCTTAAGCTGAAGATGAAGCCCTCAAATTAAGAATTATTTTGTTATATTTATATGTTATAGTTACGTCACCAAATCGCCGTTGATTGTTTTGCAGCGTTTTGTTACTTTTTTATCGGGAAAGGTTCAAATTTGATAAAAACGATAAAACTGAATGTAATGTTGAATAATTTCACAGCATTGCAATATAAGTCCAACTTTACTGAATTATTTAACGAGGTGCAAATATTCAGTTCACACAGTTCAACTCAGGATCCAACTTTATTGATTATTTCCACCAGGGGGCAGCATTTCACACGGTCAAAGACAGCATGCAGCACATTTCCTTGAAATAGAAAACTTAGCCAAAATATCTAAAAATCCAGCATTAAATGTCAGAAAAACCTGGACCATGGTTTTGTCTTGCTCACTACTTGGATTATTATTTAATCATTTATGTGAAGCTCAATGTTTTACATGATATATACATTTAATTTGTTTTACAGCTGTGAACAAAAACACAAAACTGATAAACACAAAAGGATATGTGTTCGCCTCAACACAAATCAGAATGAAAAATTCTCAAGCTCAACGTAAGCTTTACACAACAAAGCAAAACATATATCGCATCTATGTCCAAAAATAGTTCCTTATGACTTGACAATCTGATAGATTTAGAAAATGAGATAAAATACCACAGCAGGCTAAACAGCTCATGTTTTCAGTTTGCTTTACTTTTAGCTGTACAAAAAATCGTGACCAAACCAAGTCCATCACCAACATCTGCCGATCAGTTAATCAGCTGGGCAGAAGGTTGCATAGTTATCATCCAGTATCGCGTAAAGACCTGGGTAAACTGGATCAGAGAAGTTGGAATAAAAGGTTTGCAGGTGATGCAGACTTTTTCCACAAACAGCAAAGAAGGACACAGAACCAGCAGGGTAGTCCAGGTACACCCCAAACCTGTTGCATCCTATAGGAGGATCAACAACATAGCTCATGGCGTGGCTTTGGCCTGCCGTAATCATTCCGTGTATTATAAAAATTATAATATTTGTGATAATCCTCAAATGTTTTTTGCTTTCCAGGTTTTTCTCCAGTGCATACAAGAAGTACGCCTGTGTATGTGAACTCAACTGAGCTCCATGTGACCTCAAAGTAATGACGACCGGTCAGGCCTTCTGTGCACATAACAAGGGGAATAGAACCATCCGGAGGCTTCATTCTCCACATCTGCGTTGCCTTCTTGTTTCCCTCAGAGAGTTTGAGAGAGTCAGCGGCTGTGTTTGGGTCCAAGGTAAGATCACAGTAGTCTGATGGACATAGGAAGCACACCATTAAAGTCTGATTAGTTAATTTTAGTTCACTTTAGAACAAGTTATTATGTAAATATCAATCTACTACTGCAATAAATGATAATATGAGATGATATTAGTAAATTTAACACATCACTTGTTTTATAGGAATATGAATCCTTTCCTGAAAAGAAAGGTCTCACTCTCAACATCTTTGCTCAAACTAAAATTATGTATTTTAAAAATATCATGATGATAATGTACTTACAGTATAAGAGATCTCTTCGATCTAAGTTGGTTGTGACATCAGCAATAACAGGTTTTGAGAAGTCTTCAGTTTTTAGAATACCCTCAATGTACTGGTAGATGGTTGCTCCTTTGAATTTCCTATTTGGAAGAACTGCGACAAGGAAACAAAATTTCCTGCTGCTTTTTAGGTTCTTGCCAATTTGGTGGAACACTTTGGCTTTTTTCCTCATGTTGGCTACGATCTCATTGGAGAAGAACCAGTGGTCCTTCGTGGGTGCAGTCACACTGGGTGGTGGTGCTGTCGTATCTCTGCTCAAATATTTGGTCATCTGCTCAGTGAAGGGGTCGACAGTTTCCACAGAGGTGAAAACAAAGCAGAGAGCATTTTCTACACCCGCAGCCAGAGCTTCTCTGTCCAAGTCAGACTCATCTGGGACGGTCTTGATTCCTTCCATAATGTCTACACATGATTTGATGATGTTGATTTCTCTCTCTGCGTTGTCTAACCACCTATCTAAGTGTTCCTCACAGAATGGAGACTGTTTGTGGTCATCAAGGAGTTTGTCTACAGACTTTTCATCTTCTTTACCGTCACGAATCAAGGGAATCTTCTTCTGCATGGTTTTCCTGAGCATTGTTGTGTAGTCATTACAGAGATCATGGAAGCGCTTATACTTTTTATAAAGCTCCGGAAAACATTCCACCACTTTCTCATCCAGAGCCTCATTGCACCTCATTTGCATTTCTCTGATACTTTCCAGAGTGTTGGTGGCTTTTCTGACCAAACCAACAGAAAAGTCTCCCATCAGCTCTGACGCAGATGGTTCCAGATTCTTCAGAGGAGTCAGCCAGACCTTAATAGGAACTGAGTTCTCTCCATTTTTTCCAAGGAGCTCTGGAAGCCGGGCGTACGTCTTCACTGCATCCTCAAAGGATGCAGGGTTCTTGTCGAGAATTAGGTCTCCGTAGAATTTGCAGGAGAACTTATTAGTTACAGCTTTTTCTTCATCAGTGAGCTCTATTTTAACTTTCGCCTCAAAACTAAAGATTGGAATTTTGTTAATTGCAACTTCTGCGCTGGCTCCAATCTTCTGAAGACTGCTGGAATCTAACTTCTCACTGTCAAACACAAAAAAGGCATTTGCTCCGTAGAGTATGCCTGTCACCACATGTGTTGCACTGAAATCTGGACTAAAACATTTAGCGTCCAGTTCCTTCTTTCCAACATGAGACAGAGACAGATGTTCGTATGTGGTTGTGGCTTTGTACTGAAGGGTGATTCTGCTCTGGTTCTTATATTTTTTCGTATCATTCAGATAACTGGCAGATCCTCCAACCTCAACCAGACCACCCAGGATACTGGCTTTAAGGGACACGTTCACATCCAGCAAAGAAGACTTGGATTCAAGGGTGTCGGATGCAGTAACATGATAAGAGCTGCTGTTCTGAGCCTTAGTAGAACTGTTCTTTTTGATTGTTTCTGTGTTGCAAAGTGTGAAACCTGTAGAATCCGCAAAAAACACATTAAATAGATTAGATTTTGCATGAGAGTTTTCTCTGCACGTACTCCAGCTTCCCATTTTCAAAATATTTGTTTAATATCAGGCAACATTTGCCGCATGAACTTTTCATTAACATGGAGAAGGTCTCTCTCACATTTAATAATTAGTAAATTAAAGCGATTTATACTCCTCCTTATGTATATACATATATCTTACTCTTCCTGATGCACTGTTTGACCTCTGTGACTGACACTGCTTTAACGCGCCTCACTGCACTGTTTGCAATTCAGCAAAAGTCTTTGATTCAAAGCAAGGAAGCAGCTAAAACATTCAGGGCAGTTGCCCTTGAGGTTCATAATTGGGAAACACAGTTTCAAACCACATCTGTTTCAGTTTAAATAAACTCTAGAAATGAGCAGGTTTGTTCTCACCTGTTATCAGCAGATCTTTGCGAGCATCATACAGCATTCCCAAGGCGAACGGCCGGCCGAGGGCTGCAATCTCAACCTGATTTGAGGTCATGTCTCTGATCTAAGAGGACGGGCAGAAACATCAAGAGGTGAAAACAGAAGCAATTCCAGAACTGTGAAATAAATTTATTATGCTGTTGGATAAAATGATGACAGGCAAACAATTATGAAGCTCTTCAGAAACACGGGGATTTCCCTACCCGATGAAGACGAGTTGTTGAGTTGTTCAGTTAAGTTGTGTTGAAGCTTTTTTGACTTGTTTGAATTCTTGATTTGGGGTGTGTTCTTAAATCCTTGAAGCTTTTCCCACTGAAGTGTCTGGAACGCCCACTTATTTCACATTGAGAAGTCTGAATGAATTATTGAGGACCTGCTCAAACGCACTAAAAAAATATGTACAAATTCATTCTGGCTTCAATGTCGAGCAGAAATTTGGACTTATTGCTCTCATAAGTCAGCAGAACATTTTCACCCTGCGGCGTTTCAAAGTGTGTGTGTTGGCTGGGCAGAGGGTGACATGTTTTTTTTTCCTCAGGGAGAGATCTACCATCATAGTGGTATGATGTCAGATATTTGATCTGGCCATCAGCTATCTGGGAATAGTTTTGACTTGCCTGAGAAGATTCCTCTCACACAGAGAGCTTGTTCCACAGCAGCAGCTTCATGTGAAAATGAAGACAGATACAGGCAAAGGTTCCCAATTGACTAAGGCTTCTTCCTGCAGCAACACAGTTTCAGCTGTGAGTTTACTCTGAGCAATTCACATTCATGCAGAGTTAATATTTGATTGGTGTAAGAGTACAGAAACTTCCGTGTGTTAAACTCTGACTCTACTTCATGGTCCTGAGATTGGATCGTCAGTATTTTGCAGGATCAACATGTTCGCCCTGATTGCTAGAAGAGTGCCCTGTCCAGAGTGGGATGGAAGCATCTCTCTGAATCAGATCAGGTTTTCCACAAAATATTAGAGTGTTATAGATGCAGCAGACATTTTTTAAGGACATCTAGACAACTCATGTTTCAATGATGAAATTTAGCGAACCATGCTGAGTCCAACATTTTTATCGCAAACTTACTCACCAGACTCTTGTACAGTTATTTGTTTCCTCTCCTTTGCTAATTAGTTCCAAATACAAATGTTTCCAGGACTCGACAAAGCATCTAATTCAATCGTACATGATCATCATTTGGTCGTGCATCTTGGCATTCATTTCTGGAAATTGTGTTATTACGGTAATGATATAGGTGTTTTGTATACTTTTTTTAAAAAGATTTTTGTCTGGTTATTCAGGATTGAATGTTATTTTACAGGTTCATGCCTGATATTTGTATCACTTTGCATGTCTGAATAGATCCTCAATATTGTTTGGTTTCTTTGTTTATATGTGCATTTCAGTCGCTAGGATGAAAATGGAGTTTGGACAGAATCTCAAAGTTCATTGGACATATCGACTGACTTTCAATATAATGAGATGTTCGGTTCTGTGCTTTAAGCCAAACTCTCACCTCAGTGAAACAGAACTTATTAAAAGTAAGTCTATTGTTGCCTAAAGTTAAATATTGTGCAGTAATATGTAAATGTTTAGATTGTTATTACTGCCTCCTAGTGGTTAGGGATCTTTTTATGTATTTTTATTTACTCTTATTCTTTTTATTATTATTATTGCTGTTTTACAAAACTTTGGACTATGAGTCTGCAATAAAATCTACCTTAGAATCAACATTCTAACCTCAGTTTTGCAGTAAACAACTTTAATGATCCTCTTGGAAAGCAATCCATTATTTCTTAGAAATAGCTGCTGTTATCCAGATAAAATGAGATAAGCCTTTTCAGCATGTATTGGAATTTATTTTGGTGCCAGATATTCAGGATTAGGTTTGACTTGTTGCTTTGCCCAAACAACACTAAGGTCCCATAAATTCCAGTAAGGCGCACAGCAAGGAAAGACAGTGCATGTCTCCACCCGTTTTTGACATCACATCATAAAACATGGTAAAACTGAATAGTAATAAAATAATTTGCTGCCTGTGTTATGTCACTCCAGTTTCTTATTTTCCACAATATATGAGAAAATCCTGTCCCTCACTGCCGGTCAGCAATTTGCTTTCTTTAGCAGTCAGTGGTGAAACTGACTCCTAGGGGATGAACTCCAAAGTGTTTGCTGTCCAAGGTGCATTTCCTTTTAAAACCATTTACAAACACTGATACCAATGACATATTACAGAATTAGTAACATACATTTTTTTTCCTCAGGGTTTCACAACCACATGAAGTTTCCAGCTAGCCAGAGAAAGAAAAGAAAGGAACAAGTTTGAATCTGTTGCTTTCATAACTCAGCAGATTATTTTCACCCTGTGCTGTTTCAAAGTGTGTGTGTGTGTGTGTGTGTTGGCTGGACAGAGGGTGACATGTTTTTTTTAAATTTTCCTCAGGGAGTGATCAACTATCATACACTGGTACAAAGAACAATGAACACATTTTGCCATCAGATATTTAGGAAGAGTTTTGACTTGCCTGAGAAGATTCCTGTCACACAGAGACAGCTTATTCTCAGACCAACAGCTTCATGTGAAAATGAACACAGATATAGACAAAGGCTCCGATTGACTAAGGCTTCTTCCTGCAGTAACACAGTTTAAGCTGTGAGTTTACTCTGGGTAATTCACATTCATGCAGATTTCATATTTCCAGCATTCAGCTTCTGGACCAACTTCTGGTGACAACTGACGATTCTTGGTGACGATTCCTTTCTTGTCTTTTCACTCCATAAAGTTGATCTCGGGCAGTTATCTGAGTCTTGCAATCACCGTTTGAGGAAATACCTTCTTGGTCAACATCTTTGACTTTATGACTCTCCCCAGAATTTCCATTTCAGTTTGAAGTTCTCGATGCAGAGGAAAAGGTTGTTTCAGATGCTCTTTATGGATAGTTAATTATCTGAGTAGTTTTGTTAACTGATTTCAGCTGTTTTTCATAGTGGAAATGCATTTACGACTTGATGCAAACGATGCAAATCGCAGTTTGTGAACATCAGCATTCTTTGTGGAAGTAGATGTCACAAGCAAAAATCTGGTGGAATGATGTGGTTCTCCACCTGATGACCAACAAACAGATTAAGACACCCTAGTCATGGCAGCGCAGGAACAGGCTTTCAGCACCGGAGCAATAAAAATAGAAATCCACCAAATCAGACATGACCCATATACAGGCTGTACAAAGACGACCTGAGAGAAAGGGTGATAAAAAGAAATACTCACTCTTTCATCACATCAGTGTTCCCTCTTGGGTCCTTAATACTCATCGTTATATCTTACCTTGTAGCTTTACTATATTCTTGTTTATTGAACACCTTAAAACCAACCAGTCATCATTGACACAATAAGATGATGGATCTGTAACTTAAATCTTGTTGTCTTTCAGAGAGTAAACTCTTAAACAATCCTTGGGAACTGTAAAATTGCAACAACTTCATACACAAACTAGTTTTTGAAATCTTAGATTAATTTTTAACTCCACTTTTGGTTAATTATTACAAACATTTTTGATTGTTATATTGCCTCGTTCTCTTTTCTCCCCTTCCTTCCTATATAAGCATATCATTTGGTCTATTTGATTTATTTCAGAAGAGACCAAATTATATGGTCATATAAAAAATGTTACAGCAATAGAGTCTCTGCCACAGATATATTTTAGACGTTTGAATTTAAATGATGGCTGACTTACAACACTTGCTCTTAAACTTGTGGAGGAAATAGTCTATCATCTGCTCTTTGACTCATGTAACAGCCAATTAAAATATTGATAAACTGTGCTTTATATGATCACTGGTTAAACTTTAATCAGACATTGTTCCATTAACCCACATTCTCATGAATACATTGTCAAAAAGTCTAAGGTCTTATGGGTATGCGATGTTGACCATTTACTGATTTGTTGGTTATAAAAGTCACAGAAAGACCAGAGATTGACATCAGATCACAACAGCAGAACTCATCGGATCTCTTCCTGACAGTCATCACATTTTTCATCCCTATCTCTGCGGCACAACTAAGAACATGAAGGTGAGTTTACAGCTATTGTTGTTTTGCATTGGTTATGGTGAACCTAAGACATATTGACACCACTCAAAGGATCCCATATCAAACATTTGCCAATTTTTCTGGTAAGTTTTTCTTATTTAATTCACTGCATTATTTTCATTGATTTATTTTTGACTTGAAGTTTTTACCCACCTCCCCCACAAGTGAATCTACATTTTGCATGATATAAATTTTGAAACAAAACTTTAACCTTCTCATAAACAAAGTGCTTTCATAGCATTTCTAGTAAAAGATGGAATCTGTTCTTCTGCAGCTGCTGTCAGCTCTACTGCTCTTCCTGATTCCTCTATGGGCCAGCTGTGCGCCTCTTGTCCTTCCTCTGGACTGCAGTGACATCTATAACCATGATAACAGCAAACCCAGCGGAGTTTACACTATCTATCCTATTGGGGCCACTTCAGCTGTCCAGGTAGAGTAAAAAAATATTAGAAGACATTTAAATATTTCATAACTTTCAACTTTTTCAGTAGAAGGAAAAAGACAACTTGAAAATGTACACAAAAAAGACACACGGAACAGAATTATCTCTCCTATCACAATCCCCAAAAAATCCTAAATCACAATTTTTGATTTGAAGCTCAGGCTGCTCAAACCTAGATATAATACATCAGTGTAAATCACAGCTGGAAACAGATGTATCTTTGACTTGTGACTTAATGAGTCCCGTTTGTTATGTTAATTATTGGATCAACTCCATTGTTTAATGAGTTGTATGAAATAATTCTGAGAGAATTAGCCATATAAAGGCACCTTTAATGATATTACAATATATTACGTATCAGTAACGTAAGTTCAAGTTTATTTGTGTAGCACATTTGAGCAGCAAAGCGGATCAATAGCTTTACATTATAAAAACACAAAATTACCAAGCTTTAAAGAAAACACCACAGACTCGGCAATTTAACAAGCATTATGTTTTAATGAGTGCCATCAACCAAGAAAATCAGAACCAAATAAGATGGAATGTTATGGTCATGTCTTTGATTTTCACATTATTCTTCAAAGCAATGAGCTGAAGTAAATCTTAGGATTTTCTTTCTGAATCAGTTCAACAGAGATGCAGGTCTGAGCACCTTCCTGTTTGTTTCTGCAGGTTTTCTGCGACATGGACTCTTTGGGAGGACGGTGGACAGTGAGTGTCTGAACTCTTCAGTTTCTTA